GGCCGTATTTTGCAAAAATTTTCGCATGGCAGGACGTATTCTGAGGGACAAAGTAAGATCTGTATACAAGCCTCTGCAAACAGGCTCGTCTAGACGAACAGCCGCCCCGGTCGTAGACAGGCCAGGCCCGGGAAATTGTTTTCACTTGCGCCGGAAGGCTCGACATCAAAGAACAGAGGTAAGTCACGAAAACAGCTGATCTCCAATCTGCAAAAATCGATGCGACTGCCCGTCTGCCCATGGCTGCCATTATTAAATGGAACTAGTTTCACTGTATCTTGCTCTCTCTCTCTCGGAACAGCGAGCACTATTTCACAACCCCGCTCGTATCACCCCTCTGTAATCTCTAAGAGCTGTAGCAGCCACGTCTACGCGAGACAACTCCGTTTCAAAAATACCTTTTCGCATCGGGCGCTTTTGGGGACATAGAAAGGCCTGTTATGCATACAAACGAAGCGTCTAATCCAGCGTGTGATGACTGAAAAATCATTAGAACAAGGGTCTTGAGCTTGTGTCCACCTGCAAGATGCGCACCAATTTCACAAGTTGGAGCAACCGGACGCAGCTTCTAACAGACACTATTCCGACTATTCCCCAAAAAAATAAACCTTCTCACTCTCTGAACAACAATGAAATTGAATATTTTTATAGCACAATAAATATACTCTAACTTGTTAAAGACACTATTGAGCGGACAACGCTCTTAACTGTCGAATGATAGTATCCAAGAGTTTCTTTCGATCGCCTTTATTGATAGCAAAGAAACCGGAGCTCTTCTTTTCGAATTCGATCATTCTGGAAGAATTCATGTGAATAAAATAACAAGTAGGTCAACTAGTAAACATACTTTTCTAGAAGCTGTGTTGCGGTGTTTGCATTAACACGGACATATGTGCCATTTTCCTGTCCATACTCGGCAAGATACGAGGTCCAATCGTTACTCATCACTAGCTCTAACAACTGCCTAAACCAACGCAATTGAAAAACTCTTACGAGTAAAACAGAAAATAATGACTCCCTTAATACTACTGTAAATCCGTTTCCATTCTCTCTGTGAACGTGCGGAAAGCGCGCATTCGGTATAGAATGCGATGCAGTAGGTAACAAACACGCAAAAAGGAAGGTAAAAGTGTTGGAGGAATTCGCGACTCAAAAGAATTAGCCACCGAAAACCACATGAGAAACGATCAACTCCGCCCACTCGTGATTATCTCAGTTCACGTCTTCTTCTGAAATGCTTCTTATCAGTGAATAGTGGATTTGGGCGGAGTCTATCGATCCCGGTCTGATTCTTTGTCGCCAATTCTTCCAAAATACAGACTGTTCTGGACAGTAAGTATACTGTTTCGTTCGCTGCCGAGGCTGGGCTGGCTAGGAAGGCTGAGTTTGACACGCCGCCAGCCGTTCTCCACCAATTCATGAGCGTACAGGCCACAAACAATCGATGGAAAACGACCTGTAGGGAACTTATCGCTGAACAGTCTTGTCGCTTGCCGAAAGGAAACAAAGAAAAATACGGGCTGCCTCGTGCCAAACCCATACTGCCCTGTCAAGCGTCGGCATCCACAGCGGACGAGATTCCTTTGCTTGCCCTTGCTATGGCCGCCATCACATCTCGACCACAGACTCTCATCGAGCCCGAACGCAATAACAATTTATCACCTTGGCTAAGTATGAACGCGGCGTTCACTCTCAACAGTTTGCTGAAGTAAGCTGAAAGCTTTCACAACTACCCTCATCGTAATTCCTAGTTATTCTCAACGATGAATTTGGAACAAGACCAACTCCAGTGCTTGAAAGATTGGCACTGTTCAACTATTACTACCCCAATTTTCCGAAAACGGCCGGATCATGATCTGTTTTTTCTATGAACGCAGGAGGATTGGCTGAAAGTTTAGGTTCTCAGGGTAATTCGCACCCCGCTGAACACGATATCACATCCGCTCCTCCCGAAACTGCCTGGCGCCCGCGCCAAAATACCACATATCACCAAATCCGCTGAAAACTTGTGCTCAGGTAGTTCGACCTCCTGAACCGAATATCCATCCCTCCGCCCTGAAACACTTCAGCGCCCGCTCGCACAGGCGCTGCGGCGCCAAAATGCCCCTAAACCACTGGCGCCTTGTGGCGCAGGGCGCCAGGCACGTTCAGGCAAAGTGGATGTGCATAATTCCGTGTTCCCACGCGAATAGTGCCGTAAGATTCAGTCGAACAAACCTTAGGTGTGCGAAGGTCATTGGAAGCGTATTGTGGTCAAAACCGGCGACAGGGCACCTTGCTGTGAACATTTCACACTGCATAACATCTAAGCTGAATTGTTCCAAGGCTCCCATGGATATGGCTTTAACATCAGGAGACAGCAACACATCCGAAAGCCTTGACGACAAATGTTTGCATGTCTGGAAAACACGTTATGAATGAAAGACATAGAATAAATAAACCAGTATAATTCGAAATAAGGCCAGATGAAATAAAATCTAGCTCTTCCACCAATGTCGCTAAACTTGACGCTCTGTCTCTTAGCCAACGCGCCGCTGTCTCTAACGAACAGGAAAGAGTAAGTGAGGGTATAAAATAGGGAATATTGAACAAGGTGAAAATTTGAGTTTGGAAAAAGCCAAGTAGTCAATTGTGGAGCACCCAAGTGTTATCAAGACCTTCCATGGGAATCATATCTGCTTATCTACGCCTTACCAGCGAGGCAATGTGAACGTTTCTTCACATTAACGAAATGTTATTCTCCCTCTCTCACACTCCATTCCTACATGAACAGCAGGACGTGGTTGACCTCGTTTGGACAGTGACCCTTCCCGGGAACGTAACCCTCATGAACGCGCTAAGAGACGCTCAATATTAGAAATTTTGAGCACGTTGTTCCGTTCATCTCGAACTAAAGCAACAAACATTATTTCCTGTAATCAGCAGCACACCAATCTACCTTTTGTGCGAGATATCCTCCAAGGGTACGTAAACAGATCGATCCGGGATTTCTTGAATTGTTCCCGTCCCCTGTGCGATGTGAGATCGGGGAGAACGACTATGTAGGTTTCCCGGAATCCTACAAATCCTGCATCTCTGAGATTTTCCAGCCCAGCGGTGAGGAAGAAAAAAACCTTGTCTGCTACTGCCCTTATCTGGACCGATCGAGTACGACAGTTCATGTGTATTTGACAAGACTGAGCACACCCAGAAGTAGTTAGCTTTGGTAACCAGAGCACCCAAGGCCTCTGCCTTGTTCGGGTGTAACGGAAAACCTAATACTTTAGTTGTTACTAGGGAGGGAGGCGATAAATACTACAGATTTTTTACCTGCATGCAAACGTGGCGAGCCAGCACCGATGGCAAATTCGTGAAAGATAGAAATGTAGTTGATAAATAGTTAATCAAATCACTAATGTAGTCGGAAGCATGGCCTGGAAATTGTATTTTCTTCGAAGGTAGGATAGATTCCGTCATGGCTGGTGGCACATGAGAGACCAAAAAGTGCGCTTTAGGGCCCACATGAGAGGACCAAAAAGTTGCGCTACAGCATAGAAACATTGCAAAAGTACCCGATGAAGCAGGAAGCTCCCAGTCGTACTGCGCCAATTCGATGAAAGCATCAACCTTTTCTCGAATACAAACTTCGATTTGCTGTTCCACCTGCAAAGAAGACATGAAAGAATTGAAAAAAAAACAAACAACGACTAAATTCAAGGTGGTAAAAAGCTCGCCTTCTAGCATCCGAAATACTCGCGCAGTCAGGCGGGAGAGCGATGGGCTGTTCATCGAACATTCAGTTCGTTACCGCTCGTTAACTTCGTGATGTATACTCCCAAAGACTCGCATGATTTCTCCAGATAACCAATGTTGATTGTGATTTGGACCAACTGCAATACACACGTGCTGCGATGCTCATGTGGCACTGGTACGCAGTAAAGTACGTTACTTGTTAAGCTATCGATGACGTGCCACTGATGTCACAGAACAAGTTAGTAAACGTTTTTGAGAACCAGACGATAATTATACCATATAGGTCTTCTCTTCATTAACGTGTTATGTGACGTCATCAACATGTCATTTCTTAACAGATAAAGAAGTGCTACACTTGCGCTTTGGCATCAATCATAATTTTGCGACGAGCGAGAACTCAACGATTTCGAGTACTCGGCCCGACCGCAGAAAATTACGCGAAGAGGAAAGTGTAGTTATCGAAGTGGCGGAAATCAGCATTACGGCGTTTTGGACGACTAGACGTTCCGGACGGTTGCGCAGCAAAAGAGTGGATGGATATCGATCGCCGCCGGTCGCTACGCGATTGCGCAATTTCGGCGATCCAGGGTTCTGGGGATCGGCGACGGCCGCTATAGATAAGTGTGAACGAACACCGATGAATACCTGTCAACTGCGATGCCTTCCTCTTTCTCTCTTTTCTGCTCGTTCTTCCTTCTTTCGTTTCCTTTTTTCTGTCTTGCTTCTCTAGTTTCTCCCTTTCAGTATGCATGGTTGTCCACGAAGACGACGATAGCAGAAAATACAGCTGGACCCTCACATAACGAGGCGACATTACGGCGACGGAAGCACCCCGAAACAATCCCTTAGGCTATCAATGCAGCATCGATACCCACCTGCCTTTGGCGTGTGCGCAGTCTCTCGAAGCGCCGAGTTCGTCCAAAAATCCGAAACTCCTCATGCGCCAAAGTATGAACGCCGCAACTATTAGCGATCGAAATCTTCTTAATTAAGTTTTCCCAGTATAAAAGTGAACAAAGAACGAAAGCCTTGCACCAACGAAAGTTTCCTTTCTACAAGAACGAATTTCAGACTCCCTACCACGGGAAAGCCAGAATACGTTTGGCATACCTAGCCACATTTCAGATAGTGGATAAACCAATGCAGCCAGTCTTGGGCATGCACAAAAGACTTCACCTTCTCACAGTGTCATCCATTTCAGAATGTGTCAGCTGAAGATGTTCCATAAACTTCAAGCAGCCTTGAAGGTACAGCTTAGCCTTGGAATAGGCAGAGACAACGAATCGTGAGTAAGAGCGAACTTTTCGAGGGAATGGTTCCTGGAAACTATAGTTTCATTTCTCAACGGTGAAGCAAAAATATCTAGTTCAAGCTCCTTGACCATTAGACATAATTCAGACTGCAAGATATACCAGGCGGACCTGTTCCATGCTCCTCTTGTAGAAAGGAAACTCTTTTATAATCGCTCGGAACTGTTCTTCATTTTCCACATTTATCGGTGCATAGTTATCCTTCTCAAGATCACGCTCAAATTGAGCGCAGTACTCGCTCATCAGGATCTCATTGTATTGATCTCTGCAACATGTCAGTTAGTTATAATTTCACTCAAACACGCCCTATATTGAATAAAAACGAAAAAAAATGTGAACAAGCTATCCAGTTCTTGCATTATCGATTCGGGAGGAACTTCTGGCGAAACACCAAAAATGACAAGCGGTTACTCAATTCACACAACTTAATAAGGCGATTCTACCAAGGTTCAGAGAGAACTGATAGGCTTAAAGACACATTTTACAACTGCAGTTCCTGACTATCAGGACCCAAGAATGAATTTCTCGGTGTTCACCCAGGGCATGTCGTGCGTTCACCATCGAGTGGGTCGTTTTCGCTGGAAAGGGAGAGGTGTGGTTGCCTCTGTGAGAACTCACTGGCTGACTTTCCTGGGGTTTTCCTCGCTTTACTTGCGTTGCATGCTCCTCCACTCCCCCTCCCCTCCTCTGCTTGACTGCGTTTTTTTGGTGATAAGGTCGATAATTTAAAAAAAATTCGGAAAAGTGACAGGAATAGTTGGGGGAACTCGGGAACATAGCAGAGAGGATGGGGAAGGAGAGTCGTGCCAGAGCAGGAACTTTTGGGTACATTCGTATTCTACAAACTTTTTTCCCAACGGCGGGACGTGTTCTGGTTCTACCCTCCACATAATGGTAAAATCCCATAATTAGCTCTCTCAAGTGGGCGAACTATTAAACAACTTTCGCACCAATGTTCGCAAAAATAAAATGGTTACCTGAAATTCTGCAGCAACGAATAGAGCGGAGCAATGCCATACCCGTATGATTTCATCGTTAATGCAAATAAAAGAATAACTTTTTTCATTCGTAGCATCATCTCGACATCAGGGCATCCTCCCTATGATGAAAGTAATTTATTCATGCGAAAATGTAAAGCGTCCTCCAGGAAATTGCCTAAAACCTACGAAACGGCTATTCATAGTATGGACAATCTTCTTGAGAGCGCTCTCCCACAGTTGATCCTTGTGGGAAGATGTGGCGAGAGTTGGCTCCGTGATGATTATATGGTCCTCCACCACGAAGAAGCCAATGATTTCATCAAGATAGTCCACGTAGTGTTTCAGGGAATTCATCTTAAACAGGGCTGAGTAATGCTCTAGCAGTATTGTGAGCGATTATGAAGTAACCTTGGATGGTGGCTCAATGACGAGATCACACTGGTCTTTTCGTTGTTGACGATAATAAACATCAAATTCTTCCTTGGCCCCTAATACATTGAAAATCTGGCAACACCTGAAACAGTCATTTTCAGAAGAGATGACCGTGGGCGCAGTTTGGCTTGGTGGGGGTATTTTGGTGGTTGCCATCGATCACAGCCGATGCCTGCTTATAGACCTGTGAATACCCGTGCGATATATTAGCAGAAGCTCGGCACAACACATTTGACGAAGGAGGCATTATCAGAATCGCTACCCAAGCTGAAACATGTAATTCAAACATTAGACAGCGTTCAGACTTGCCGCGACCGGGCAAGCTGGCTTTGTTCGCGCTCTAGTGGCGCAATGTGATGCGACATGGCTTCTAGTATCCACGCGCGTTCGAACGCGCGATCCAGCCCTGTCGATCGCGAAGTCTGAATTCTGCATTTAGCTTGGTTCAAACTAGAAAGAGGGCAGAAAAGTGCGCTTTCCCCCGATACACCAAACAGGCCCCCATTTTATTTTGTCATATAAAATTATTTTGAAGTATATTCTTGTGAACAGGTTTATGTGTATTATTATCAAGTTTGAGGTCTTGAGCTGATACCTCTCATTTCGTCCTTGAAATATGATATCTCATCGATTAATTCGATTAAGCTGTAAACGTCCTGTGATTTGTCGATTAATTAAGAGGTCGTAACTCATCAAAAACTGAGTGGAGAAAAACATACTCAAGGCTTCCGGAGGTTTGAATAGGAGGCTGCACCGTTTGAGTGTGTCTTCCGCAATATAGTTCTGTTTCCCATTCGAGCAGAAACAGCAATTTCCACATCAACAATCTTTCTAGAAACACAGCTGATGTGAAAAAAATAGAAGTCAGTTTGCGAGATCCACGTTACGGCAACTATCAAACTAGTATTCCACAGCTAGCTGACTCGACTACTGTAACACATCTACCTCATAGTAACAGAAGAGTTTTCATAACAGCGCCATTGGAGAATGACAAAATCAGAGGGGGAAAGCAACTTATGAGAAGACTACGTGCTGAACATTGGGCGTTTTGGGAGAACTTGGGAGCTCGGTGGATAGAAGAAGAGCATTAGAACGAATTGGTTTCGCTGACTCCGCTGAAGTGAAGACCGCGAAATCGATTCTTCGACTTTTCGGGATTTTCGAGGTATCCGATTCCCCATCTCTCCAGCTGCGCTGCAGAAATGGAGAATACAGGCTAGACTGTAGATCTCCACCCACGCATTTTGGGAGAATCGGAGAATTGTAGGGCTAGGAAGTGGGAGAATCCGCGGATACGAATCGATGTCACTGTGACTGCCTATGTGGAGAAGTGGAGAAATCGATTCGTACCCAGTGACTTTCATGAACTCTGCAATCCTCCAACTCGCCGCTCTCTATGAACACGGCCTTGGATCCTGGTGCAAATGCCGCGCACGTAACGGCACTTGTAATGATGCTCTCGCCGCGTGGCCGCAACGCGGACATTTTAATCGGCACACCAGTCAGAACACAACAAGATGAATTCACTCCAAGGACAAATCAAATCGGAAAACGTGAAGTGAAAAAAGGGAGATGACAAGAGAGAAAGCGAGAACAGTGGACTTTAGACCTCGACCTCGCTAGACCTCACCCTATCATATCCCTGCCATTGAAATAAACTCAATTTCGGGCCCCTACCGCTGCGATTCGGCCATAGACAGAATGTAACGTACTGCTTAGCCTCTTGTTGTAGTCTACGTGCTCTCTCCGCTTCACTGACACCGAAAGAGTGCTGCTCGGCGGTCTGAATGCAAGTATTTAGTGGTCCACACGTAATGGTTGAATAAAAAAACGTACACATCTACTGGCATGCCTTCCAATCCTACATGCAACCTTCTTGACATTTTCGAGGAAAGTCTTTGAATTCTGAATATGCCTGAAAGAGATATCATCAAAATAATGGAAAGAATGGAGAATAAGGAGCTTATTGAGGTTGCGGATACTTACAAACCTTAGCTTTAATCTCGTTGCGTACCGGAGCCATGGTCTTCGCTAGAATCTGGGTAAAGCGATACTTTTCAACTAGAGCTAAGTGGGTATGTTCAAGTTCCTCCAAGACCTTCAAAGCTTGGTAATACCTGTAATAATCAGAATCAAATGGTCAATTTCTCGAAATTCAAGACGAGATCAGTGCTGAAATGGTTACTTTTTAAGTTGCATAAGTTCCTGTAACTTGGCATAATTTTCCAGTACCGGAAGACATACTGATATCTGGTCGATAGCAGTGGAGGCATTCTTCACCAGTTTTCTGAAAGAGAGAAAGCGTGCTGTTTGTGCCAACAACAAATAACCACAGCA